GTCCTAAGGAAGTAGATTTGAACGCCAAAGTCCTGTTGTCATTTGCAGCGTAGAACAGCACTTTCAGAACACGTGTTTCTAAACTAAAATAGTCAATAGGCATGTTGCACAATAGTTGCATGATAAAAGTTTAGAAGATGCAGTGAGCTGCGTCTGCCTCTGTCTTCCCTACAAGTTCTAAATCCTCATACAGGAAAGAAAATGTAGGCTAAATTAATGCCTGTCTTGAATCTTCTTACTCCGCTACCGTTGGCGAGGAATTTGCCCCACTGACTTCAATGGCAATGTTGCTCATTTCAGCACTGCAGGTTCAGCTATTGTAAGAATTTTACCCTCACTTACTAGCACCAGATGCTATTCATTTTGAGTAATATAAAGCAAAGCCCCAGCTGGAAAGGAAAATTTGCACTTGGTTTTTTTTCCTCATTGAATTCTGCTGGGCTACAGTTAGTTTTGGATGAAAGAAAAATGCATTTTAAAAGGAATGCAAGTTTTGTTCATGCTGGAAGACCAGAAGGTTTGTGTAACAATGGCATGGTACAGGCTTAGATTTAATAAGAGCTGCTCTGTATTGCACAAAGGGAGGGGGGAGAACGGGATGGGGACACGGATGGGGATGCAGGGCGCAAATTCTTGCATGAAAGAAACATTCTCTTGGACTTTATTTTATGGCATTTAGATTTCAGTGTCCAGGAGCTACTTGGGTATAATTAGGTCTCTCATGCCCTTTCAAAAGAAAGAAGACCACACTATACTTCACTAGCGCTGGTTATTAGGATGGGGTGGTTCTAACAAATGCCAGGCTATGAGACCTACTGGACCAGATGACAACAAACCTTTCTATAAGCAGCTAAATAAAGAAAGTACAGCATGCATTTGTGGCATGGCCAGTTTGCTTCCTTCCTGCTGACTCTTTAAAGCTACATACTGGACAAGAGTCACAAGGAGACCAAGGCATCATGCCATCAAGTATTCCCCCATCTAAGTTAGGTGCCCAGCTTCAGGCATGGAAGTTACAAACCCAAGTTGATGCCTAAGTTCCACATACTTTAAAAGGGGAAAGTGACATGCCTAGGACTAGGATTTATACCATTTCATAGGTGAACAAGTCCATCAGGAAATCCCAAACAGGAGTGTTTGAGGTCCTGTCTCAGGTCCCTGCAACCCCAAAGTAGGTGCTGAAATCATCCTTTTGTACCAGATGTTTGCTGAAATTTCCCATAGGGAAATTAAAACATCAAATAACCTTTTTAGGCATTTACATTCCTTAATGAACATAAATCACTAATACTGGCACCTTGTAAGGAGCCAAGTGAAAAACCATGTTTGAACAAGTTTTGCTGGTTAATTACTATGCTATGGGGCCTCCTGCTTCTGCCTGAAAACTCCTAGGTTGAAGACCTCTCATAGATAATCCATTTTTAAAAGTTGCTGAGTTTTTGTGTTTTGACAAGGCAGCTCCTGAGAGGGAAAGTCATGCAGTGAATGAAGTGAAATGGACTCCATGATGAGAAAAATTAACCCTGTGAGAAACACTATTTTGTCAGTGATGCATGACAGCAATGACAGACCAGTCAAGAAGAGAGGAGAGGGATCTGAAGCTATTACATGGCCACTCAATTGCTGTGTGGGGTAGCTATCAAAGAAATGAAATGAAGGATCTGGGAACAAGCCTGGGATTAATGGGGTCCTCACTCTATACTGTAGCAGACTAAGCTTTACTTTATAAAGCGAAACAATCCAGCTGAATTTTGTAGCCTGTGGAGCTCCTGGAGCAGGATTCAGATCTTGTCTCCTCAGAAAAGCAACCCTGGATTAATGGAAGCTAAAGAGCTGTTGGGCTGGAGTCTCTGCAAAAGGGACACACACAACGGGTATTAAGTGGAAACAACAGAAATGTAATGGGAAAAAAACCCCAAGGCTTGACGGTGGTTTAACTACATCCCATATTAGTTTTATATTTTCTTCTGGTGCCTCCACACCAAACACATGTCGGGGTTAAACACAGCATGTTAGGAGCCATAACAACAGGAGGATTCAGTAGTTTAGTGGGTGAGTGGATTGGAGGCAAGAGATGAGGATAAAACAGGAGCACAGAGTGTACCTGGAAAAGACGGTAAATGGGGCTATTAAAGAGGGTGGAATGGAGGTGCTGGCACATTTCTGTGCTGACAGATATCGAAAGGATTGTAACCAGCTTGTGAATGTTGTTCTGCAGGTCTCACCATCTCACTATCTCAGTACACTTTGCTTAGTCCTTAGAACACACATGCTCAGGAAATATATAGAATCTGAAAGCTGCTGCAACCCTAAGGCTGCTGACAGACATCCTATTAAGGGCAACATGGGACTGATCTGCAGTCCCAGCAATCATGCCTCCTGCTATACCACACATGCACAGCAGGAGACATAACTGTGGGATTAGGGCAAACTGCTGAAGTAGCAAGTAGCAGCTAGGTGCCTGGTGCTCTCAAGGCTGGGAGTGCTAGTAAGCAGATCAGTGCTGTCAGGCACAGCAGTACATCAGAGCCCTTCAAGACTGATCAGATAATGGGACAGAAAACCCCCATAACACAACTGAGTACCATGAGCATAGGGCTAGCTTAAGTCTCCTGCCCATAGAAGACTCAGAGGATCCTTACTGACACACCTGTCTCTTGGACCTCTGACAGATGTGCAATTAGGCTGCTGACAGATTATCATGATTCTCAGGCTCCTGCTGCACCAGTAAGTAGCAAGCTGGGTGCCTGCTGTGCTCTTGTGGCTGGCAGCACCAAGTCAGCTGCTCGGTGCTCCTACCTGCAGGAGTGCACTGGACACGCATTCAGTTTAAGGCACAATGGGAACCAGCCTCAAAATTAATGCACAAAATTTGTAATAACTTTGTGGCTTATTCCCTGTTTTATCATCCTATTAACTGCAATAATATTACTAAAGTTACTATTTAAGACATGATTAACTGGTGAATCATGTCTTAAGTGTAATGCCTGCCAGGGGTTTTAGCTTTCTAGTTCTATGTATTTGGGGCCAAGGTCTCTGGGCAGCTATGGAAAAAACATTGGTTGTCCAGTACTTTAAGCACATAATGAGCTCTGTAGAGTCACTTCGGCTAAGGACAGACATTACACATAAACCGATTTAAGCGATCAGAAACTGTAGCAGAACAAATGTTCAGTGCGCAAAAAACAGTTTGAAAATGGCTGAAACAGGTTTGAGATAAACCTGGTTGAATGTAGTATGAGACTTAACTGATTTGTGTCAAACCAGTTTATGCAATGTCTGTCTCAGGCCTTCCTGGTTTAAATCAAATCAGCGTCCTCCAGCATCCCAGATGCATTGCAGCCCTGGGCAGGGCTCTGCTCCAGCCCAACAGGCCTGGCCCCACCCCTCTGCTCCCTGGCTGTAGCTCCAGCAGAGAGTACAGGTACAGTGGGATCTGCCTGGCTTCCTCCTGTTCCCCTCCTGCCCACCCCCCTACCCCTCTGCCGGTCACCACTTCCTGCTCAAGCAGGGATTCCCTCCTCCCCTCTATCTTACACAGACACCTCTGTGTTATGGGAGACAAGACAAAGGCAGACAGGACAGTGTTGGCTTAAGACTTTTTGGAGCTAATCAGCAGGTAGCTGGTAATGTCTCTGCATTCCTTCCTTGGAAAAAGTTGTTAAGAGCTTAAATTAATAAAAGAAACTTTGTTTTGTTTGATGGGAAGATAAATGCTAATAACTCCCTGTGCAACTCCTGGCTGTGTAATGCAATGCTCTGTTATCAACAGCGGGGGGGAGGGAACCCCCTCCCTAATCAGGAGCATCATGCTGGGGCTAGGCCATGCTTCTCCTCAGCTCAACACTGAGGAAGGGAAGGGAGGGCTGTTCTAGCACCCCCTGGCATCTAGCCTGAGCCACTACAGGCACGTGCTAGCATTTCCTCAGTCCAGAAAGGATGTCTGTGCAGTTACAAATCAGTTTAGCCTAGCCAGGTTAGACTAACCTGCAGAGATTGAATCAATTCAGGATCAGACTTTTTGAATGTCTGTCCCTAGCTTTCTTGGGCAGATGTGATGCACTGAAGGTGAATGAGTTCTGAAACTGCCACTGAGCACCCAATTTAATAAAATCTGGATGTTTTCCCAGGTTAGATATCTGCCCTGTTTTTAGGATAAGGAAGCAACTGATAAGTCCATTAGGCCTGGCTATATGAACAACTCTTGATCTCTGCTATGCCTGCTCCTCACCAGGGGCAAGTCTTACCCACTCACCCCCAGAAAGCTCAGACAAAAATCTGTGCGTCTGCTTAACCACATAGTATTATTGCTGGCATGGCAGTAACATGGCACCAGCCCACTGCTTTTTTAGGATGGGTGAAATGTGTGATCTCTGAATTAGCTGCTAAGGACAGTTAAAAAAAATATTGAAGGCTGGCGAGAAATATTTAAACTCTTTTCAAATACACTAGAGGTGCCAGTAAGAGACATTTCAGAGACACAGCTAGGAATACCCTGTGTAAGCATGTACGAGGAATTCTGAACTCTTCCAAAGAGACATGGAGTAGAAAAGCCGAGCACTTAATGAAGATACCAATTTACACACCAGATGCTGTTGCAAAGACTTATTCACTAGTTTACATGTAAAAGTTATGACCTAGGGCAAGTATTCAGCTAGTTATTTTCTTGTCTTAACTGTTATTCCCATTAAATAAATTAAATGGAGTATTGCGTATGGAGGATAGAACAACAAGCTCTCCAATTTTTAATACTTAATTATCAAGAACATCTTGGAAGTTGACCAAGTTACAGACCTTTTCACATTTTATACTGATCCAGATGAACTCTGCAAGTGTTCACTGGGGATAGAAGGGAGAGAATACAAGAGGGGTTATGTTTTAAAAAACAAACTAAAAATCCAGGCAATAACTCAGGTTGTGAAAAAGAGGTGGGAGTTTCTGTTTTCTGTTACATGACCTTGCTGCAATAAATAGGGCTCAGTGGAAAAGACAGGCAGGGATTCCATTTAAAAATCATTTTATTATTAACATAATCTTCCCATTTAACCACGTGTGGGTCATGTATAAGGAATGTCAGTAGATATTCCATATGAAGCTTCTTTTTACATATTTCCATCGATAAATAAACTCTGAATTCACATAAAAAAGTTAAACTTAAATAACTAATATTTTCTCCTTCGAAACAGGCATACATTGGTAAAATATAAATATTCTTGTCTTCATTCTTTGTTCTAAATAAAGATAACAATTAGCCACACATCACAGTTATTAACAACTAAAAACAGGAACTCAAACGATTTTCTGGCCTGGACCAAAATAGAGATGGAAAACAGAAAATTCACATTTTGACTTTGGGCCAAGAGAGGTTGAGGAGGAGGAGGAGAGAACAAGTTTCCATAACAGGCTTGTTAAAAATAGGCTGCTCTGCCACTGAATTTTAACTTGAAAATATCATTTTACATTTGGTGCTTGGTTCTGTTATAGTATTACGTAACACTCAGATGTCACTTAACAAAATATGGCACGTTATCCAGTTGAACAATAAGCAGGTTTCAGAACTACCGTGGGGCAAAAATGTAAGTGATACAAGCAATTTGTTTTTGGTTAGTCGTTTTTTCCTTCATTCTAAATTAATATAGCACATCACTTCACTGTTCCATCAGTTTCCCCACAGCAATAATCAGAGCGGGGAGTTCGTTACCTGAAGTTTTTCAAACCAACCTGCATTATCAGACATATCAGTATGTCGTGTTTCCTCACCCCCAAGTCCAGACGCTGAACCATGATGAACTGGCAGTGAGATGATCTTCTCTTAGAGAACTCTGGGAATGATGGTAAAAGGGACTATGGGGCTGCTGGCTTCAAGCTCCAGTGCTGTCAGGAAGCACTCAGTTGCAGCATCGTCATTGCCCTGAGCTTGCAGAACCTCCCCGAGACCGTTCCAAACCTCATGGGCTGTAGAATTCACTTGCACAGCATCTCTGAGAATCTTCTCTGCCAAACTGTAGCGTCCTACCTGATGAAGTATCAGAGCCTGTCACAAAATAAAGAGCAAACAGGGCTGAAAACTTAGGTTGACTGTAAATGAAAACCTGGTACTTCGATCGCAATCCTTTGTAGATATTGGTCTTTCATAAAACTTCAAAAGGAGATGAACAGCTGTCATTGAGAAAAAGGGTGCCCCCCAAGACTTACGCTAAAGAGGCAGCCCATGCTCTTCACAAATAGGGCTAGATCCAGTAAGTGACTGAGAGGCTGGATGCTGCAATGCTCATCTTTGAGCCCCAGACCCAGAAAGAAATCCAAAATCCAGAGTTAAGCATGCCGGCACCGTATGTAGCACACGGAAAGTTTGGCACCTCAGAAGAGCAGTCCAGGAAACCATAAGAAGCCATTTAAAGGAAGACAACAGGAAATGCCAAGCACTGAAGTGGGTCAACTGCTGCTCACCCCCAGAGCTCAGGTGTCTGACCCAGAATGGCAGGGCAATGGTTCCCCCTGCTCCACATCCAGAGCCCTGAAGCTGTTCCTGCATGTAGATGCAATATCTGTTCTTTGAAAGAACTGAGTGGGGCTCACTATTTTCTTTTTAAAACATAGCCTTGCCAGTTGCTTGCCTCCTATATCATAGCTAGAGAGAGCAAGAGCGAGAGAGAGAGAGAGTGAGAGCGAGCGCTTTTGGCCACACTGGGAGAACCTGGGTTCTAGGCCCTCTTCAGCCTGAGGGGACTCAAATCCACAGCTTTGAACCCCTGGCGCGACCAGCTCGCTTTCATTCCAGGGCTCAACTTCAACAGGGGGGTGGAGAGTGCCCTGGTACAGCCTAGCCTGTAAGCCTAGCAGAGGGGACACTCTCTTGGGAGATGGATGTAAGCGCTGAACCCCTCAAGCTGAGGAAATAACAATTTTTCCACTTCCATTTCCTGGGTGAGTGCTCTAACCACTAGCTACAATAGAAGATGTGGGTACCATCACCAACTGTATTTAAAAAAAATCAAGTTGCCACAACTATATTCTCCAAGAGGCCCTGTGCTGTTGGTGCACGTTAGGTGAGCCCGGAGCACGCATGTCAGACCCAGCCTCTCAACCTTTCATTTCCATGAAGCTACAGTAATTATATTGGTGTATATGGTTTATTGTAGAACTACAAAACCAAGTGCTCTGGGTGTCCTCACATCCAAAGGCCCCAGGGCTGGAGTGCAACAGACACTTTTCAACCAGGGGGTAACGGGGCTGCTCCATGGCTCCCCCAGCCCCCAGGGGAGCCTGTCAACTGAACAGGCTCACTGACAGACTTGGGCCTGGCTGCCGGACCGCCCGAGAGCTGGCTGGAGCTGCCATGCTCCATCACAGGAACATTAAAGTTCCTGTGATGCTGGCAGCCCTGCCATGCTTACTGCCAGGCAGCAAGAGTGATGGGTCCAAGTGAGTCTCCTGCACTGACAGGGATTGATCAGAGTCTCTGTTTCACCAGCCCCTGCCCCAGTCACTTAAACAGAGGTAAGAGTGAGGAGATCCCTGCAAGGGGCGACAGGAACTGATTGCAGTGGGGAGCACAGACCCCCCAACCAGGGCTATTTCTAGTGTGGAAGGCAGCTCTGCATCCTGGGTTTGCAGGGCAAGCTGTCAGGGTGCCAGCTGCTCTCACAGGGCACTGCGGGAAAGAATGGGGTCTAAGAAGTAGCCAGACATTAAAAATATCCCAACATGTTGTGGACCCACCATTTTTGTGGCGGATTGGCCATTTCTATCACAGGAGAAATTCCTTTAATGTCTGATGTTACTGTATTTGTTGCAGGAAGCTCGTGTACATTGCAGCACAAACAAGGCCTTGGACACTGCTCCACAAATATTTTGGATCTGGGTTGGAGCTAAATGCTGTTCTGCTCAGGCTGGAGTAGTTCTAGGCATGTGCTGAAGCTGAATTGTTGACATCATAGATTCACAGATGCTAGGGTCGGAAGGGACCTCAACAGATCGAGTCTGACCACCTGCCCTGGGCAGGAATGAGTGCTGGGGTCAGATGACCCCAGCCAGATGCCTATCCAGCCTTCTCTTAAAGACCCCCAAGGTAGAGGAAAGCACCACCTCCCTTGGAAGCCCATTTCAGATTCTGGCCACCCTTACTGTGAAGAAGTTGTTCCTGATGTCTAGCCTAAAACTACTCTCTGTCACTTTGTGACCATTGTTCCTTGTTACCCCAAGAGGCATCCAGGTGAACAGAGCATCTCCAATCTCTTGCTGTGTCCCCCTAATGAATTTGTAGGCAGCCACAAGATCCCCTCTCAGCCTTTTCTTGCAGAGGTTGAAGAGATCCAGGTCCCTTAGTATCTCTTCATAGGGTTTGGTCTGCAAACCCTTAACCATATGAGTGGCCCTCCTCTGGACCCTCTCAAGATTATCCACATCCTTCTTACAGTAGGGTGCCCAAAATTGGATGCAGTACTCCAACTGCTGTCTGACCAATCAGGAAGATTTTAAAAAGAAACAGTTGCCTCTGAGGTTAGGTAATCATTGACCAGGGGGTATTTTGCTTCCCAGTTCTGGACTTAAGCACCTAAACCAGGCCTGAGGCAGACTTTAGAAGCTGAAGGATTTTTTTTTTTTTTTCCTTTCTCACTCCTGATTTCTCACCTTCACGGAACGTAGTTGCACAGAATCTTTGCACTGTTCAACTATTTAACTATCCATCATGAATCCCTGCAGTCTGAATTACTTTGTTGGCAACTACATTAAATTCTACTGTAAGCACACTATTAAATGTGCTAGATAATACAGCCTATGAACTCTCTGAAGAATACATTTATGAAGAAAGCAAAGAGTATAATTTTGGCAATAGGTTAAGTCATAACTGCAACGAGGGCTAATTTCTAATAGCCTAATGGATCTTCTGTCAAAGAACTGCTGCAGATTCATGTTTTTTCATGTGTCAAGTGATTCAGCACCGTCAGAAATGAACAATGCCGTGACTTAACACAATGCAGGCAGTTGTTCGGGAATGGTGGGGTATTTGAAAGTAATTGTGTAACTGGCAGGTAAGACAATCAAATTAATTTAGAAGAAATGGGGCAGGGAGGAGGCTATGGAAGCTCTGTGGACTAGAGTTTGTTTAGTGTAACCTTTGAGTTTCCTGAAACCAAAGTCAAAGAATAAAGTGTACTTGTCTAGTTGACAGACAACTTCCTGAATGTTATTTTATGTTTGCTCAAGGCTGATTCATTAGAATATTAGCAATTAAACTTTTCATGTTCAAAGAAATCAACCTGATCTTGTACATTTTGCCCTGCAATCAGAAGGGTTACAGACTAAAACAAATTTAATTTATTTAATCTGCCATTACTTTCTAAAAGTATCCATTCATTTTTTAATCTTCCAAGGAAGAACAATACTGATGCAATTTTGATGGATATTTTCTTCTTCTGCTGCTGCTTCTTAATAAAAATGTTAAACATTTAAAAAACTGCTGAAAGATATTGAGGCTAACTGTTTATCCAGAGAACCACTACCACATGGGCAGTAACAAGAACACAGTCTTCTCACAATCCTACCAATGCATGTTTAAAATGGAGGGTATTGCCACGACAGAGGCTAAAATAAAGAGCACAGTCTCCCAGACCTATTTACTTTTAGACCTGTTGGGCTGTAAACAGATATCTTTGACCCAGGACCGACTGCCCCATGGTTTGATTCAAATCAAAAGAGGTGCAGCACAGTCATTCACCCACATCACCCCTCTAAGCTGCACTGCTGCTCCTTTTTCAGTAAGGGTAGGGACAGAAATTACATGTAAACTAGTATAAACAATTGGAAACTGGTTCAAATCTGTAACAACAGAAGTTGAGTGTACATTAACCACTTTCAAAATGGATGAAACTAGTTTAAGATAAACCTGGATGGATATAATATCAGACTTAGCTGGTTTAGGTTATATTGGTTTATTGAACTTTTGTCCCAGATCCCCTCCAGATTCAAGTTAACTCACAGTCCCTCAGCATCCCAGGATGCTTTGCTCCTCCCCACACAAACCATCCCTTATGGGGTGGGCAGATTAGCTTGGCCAAAGCTGTCTGCTCCAGCTGAGCAGGGAGGTGTGCTCTAGCACCCCCAGGCTTCTGGCCTGGGCCACTGCAGGCATGTGGCTGCATTTCTGTGATCAAAAGTGAATGTCTATTCACTTGCTTATTGGTATCTATGCAGCTGAGACTAACCTACAAAGATTGTATTGATTCACTCTCAGGCTTTTTGACTGTCTGTATTTCGTCTAGGTGGCCAGCAAGAGGACACAGTTTGATAGGCTTGTCCCTGGAATGAACCACTGTAACCACACAGACGTACATCAGGATGTCCCAGGAATAAGTGAGGGTACATTACCCGCACGCTTCAGAGGGACTTGAAGTAGGAGAGTGGACATGTCCATCTGTATGAACCTGGGACAAAAGGCGGCTTTCTACCAAGAGAAACGTGATGTCCACAGCCTCAGCTGAATCTGCCCAGAAGACTTTTGCTTATGGTCCTGTACATTAGCAGAACTGTATGGTATGGGCCCTGTGCCAGCATAATTTTGGGGCCCCAATAAAGTGATACAAAACGCATGTGCACACACATGCACACATGTGCATGTACAACAAAAAAACCTGAAAGTTCCTGAAGTTCTCTTTAAATTTGAAGTTTCACTATGATCATCAGCCATTTTGGTTCAGGAGTATTATTCTGGAAAGCACCTTCATTATATCAACGTAGTGGAACCTCAAAGCAATGACTGATTCTTTTCTTGACAACCAAATGTATTGGACATGCTTTCCTCAAAGTAATGGTACTGATGAGCTCTGAGACAGAAGCTAATTCAGATAACACAGCCCATCTCTTTACACTCTGTCCAGAGAAAGTGTAGACTCTTTCAATCATCTCATTAAAAAAAATTGTGGTTTTTTTTTTTTAAGTTCAAACATGGAGCTTCATTACTATCTAGCCTTTCAGTTAAATGATGCCAGTCTCCATCACCTCTGACCCATGTCACATTATATGGGGAAGAAT